AGAACTAATTAGAGTATGTGGTCAACCATCCAGTCTACAAAAATCAAGCTCTATAAACTTGCCACCCAGATAATGAGTGTCAAGGTCAGGATTTGAACCCATGACCTCAGGTTCCAAATCTAGCACTCTGCAACATTCAACAACTCTTCAAAATCATGTTCAGCAAGGATCAGTTGAAGGAACTATGGATGTTTCCCTCGATAAAAAAAAGATCCGGGGACAAGAACAGGGAGGGACATGACTGCGGTGTTCAGATCTTCTAAGGTTGGTCCTCTGACGCACAGTTGTCCATACCTCATCAAACACTTGGCTTTGTAGCAAGTGTTAGAATACTTAGAATACTGTGCATTGCTAGCATCTAGGTTAGTGTCCTATGACACAAACCCGATGAGGAAAGTGGACTAGTACACAATCAGTGCTCAGGAACTATCTGTAGGGTGGATGATTCTGCTAGATCCCAGAGAACATACCCAAGACTGTTTTGCAGAAAAGATGGGGACAGACCAGCTCACATTAAAGAAGAACATCTTAACAATGACAGCTATTTCATAATGAAATGGACAACTTGAAAATGTACTGAGTTCCTTGTCTCTAGTGGACTACAAGGAGATGGTAATTTTCAAGGGTATGCTACAGAACAGGGACATGGAGGTTGATCACTAAGGTTCCTTTCCAATCTAAGAATTGATGATTCTAGACTGTGACACTGATCATTAGGCTCAAAGAAGGCCCCGACATGAACATGTATATGGAATTTTATAAGACCAGCTCCTGACTTGGTGAGGCTCAGTAACAGATAGTAACAATAGCTACCATTCACAGGATGCTCTGTTTGCCAAACACTTGAGATGTGCCATCTCATTTCATACTCACAACCACCCTAGGAAAGAGAGAGACTATTTCTACTCCTATTATACAGGTATGGAAACTGAGGCAGATAGAGATTAAGTGAATATCTTATGGTCACAGGGCTAGAAGGTGTCTGAGACAAGCTTTGAACTCAGTTCCCTGTGATTCAAAAGCCAGCATTTTAACAATACCTACCACCTTGTGCCCCAGATTCAGCCACAAACACCAAACTTCTCATGAAACAATAAAGTAACTCTGTAAGGTAACAATTTAGAGGTAGGAGGGACCTTAAAAGGTCAAGTGGCCCAACCCCTTCACTTTTCAGATACAAAAAGTAAGGAAGGCTGGCCTTGGGCAAGGCATGTAATGAGTAAGGAAAAGCCAGGGCTTAAACTCAGGTCTTCTAAACTCTCCCTTCTCCCCTCCCTCCATCTCAGCAGTCTTCAAGGCCTGCCCATCCTCCCTCTGCTAAATCACTCACATCTGCCTCCTCTCAGTTCCCCGGCCACACTCCTCATCACCTCTCACCTGTATTACCTAAGGCAGAGGCCCCTAATTGGTTTCTGTGCTTCCAATTTCTTCTCTCTCCAATCCATCTTTCATGTAGCAGCCAAAATAACCTTCCTAGTTCACAGCTCTAACCATACCAGTTCTGCATTCAAAACCATTCCAAACAAACCCCTTCACCTGGCATTTAAGGATATCCACACTCTGACTCCAAAAGCCTTGGTTTACCTTGCTCTCTCCCATTCCTTGTAGCCAACTGGTCTACACTCCGCCCCCAGAACTGGCACACCTGTATGCATTGCAAGGCCATCCCCTGTGCCTGGAATGCACTCCCTCTTTCTCTCTGCCTCTCAGAATGCTCATGGTCCTTCCAAGCAGCTCCTATGTCAGCACCTCCAGGATGCTTCCCCTGCTGACTCCTCCTCAAACTATTGTGTACCACATTTTTTTGTGTACAAGTTGTATCTGATCAGTAGAATGGTAGATCCTTTAGAACCGGCATGATCTGTTTTGTTTTTGTCTTTGGTCCAGGAAGGGGCCTCATTCATAGAAGGTATTTAATAAATGTTGGTTGAATTGAATCGGACAGCATAAAATCCCCTTGCACTGAAATTTTTCAATGTGCTTGGTTTCTTGCCTCCCTTTACCAATCTCCCTCACAGAGTTCATGTCCAGAATATAGAAAGTGAAAGGCAGAAGAGATGAAAAAGAAGAAAAAGAGAAAGAGAAGAGGAAGAAGAAGAAGAAGAAAAGGGAAAAGGAGGAAGAAGAGGAAAAGAAAAAAAGAAGAGGAAAAAATGAAGATATGTTAGAAATAGTATCTCCAAAAAATTATAGAATTCCCAATTAGAAGAAACCTCAAAAGCCATCTGCTCCAACCCACAGGGTTGGGACATGACTGTGGTCTTCAGATCTTCTAAGATTGGTCCTCTGATGCAAGGTCGTCCATACCTCACAAAACATTTGGCTTTGTAGCAAACTAGGAAATGTCTGATAAGGGGCCATCCAGGTTTCACTAAAGCCTCCAGGTAGGGTAGGGGAAGGGAAGCTCACAATCTCTCTTTACTTTGGGACAGCTCTGATTGGTAGAGCATTTTCTTTGTTTTGTTTTCATTTGTTTTTGTTTGTTTTTTAAACACTGAGCCTAACACAGACTTTTTGCTACTTCCTTCCAAGGTTTCTAGTTTTACCCTAAGAAGTCTAGAAAAACAAGTCTGTGGAAGGGCCTGTTTGATTATCTGAAAAGTCATTTAGCATGATTCCTCCTCCTCCCAAGTGCTTGGTATTCTCATCTTCACTCTAAACAGACTCAGCTTCGTCAAGCCATTCTTCTACAACAGGATCTAGAGTTCTTCACTTCCTGGTCACCCCATCTGAATATTTTCCAGCTTATCAAAATGCACTTCCTAAAATGTGATACCAAAAATGAACATACAGGGAGGTGAGGCTGGTCTCCTACTTCAGGTGAAGATTTTACTTGCTTTTTTTGGCCACTATATTCAAATAATTGATATTGAGCTTACAACCCACTTGAAAAGGATCCAAGGGTGGAATGAGTTGTCCCAGTAGAGTGGCTCCCTCCTGCTCACTGGAGGTCTTAGGGCCAAAGCCATATGACCACTTGGCAGGGGGGTGATCTTTACAGAGCTGATGCTATTAGGCACAGGCTCAACTTGTTGCTGTCCGGCGTTCTTTCCAACTCAGAGATTCTGTCATTCCATAAAGCCGCCTGACCTTTCACAGATGAACTGCTCTCTAGGCATGTATTCCCCATTGTGTACCTGTGAAGTTGACTTTTTGATCCTCAGTGTAGGATTTTGCATTATTACCATTAAATATTATCTCCTTAGATTTAACTCAGTATTCTAGCCTTTGGAGGTCTTGTCATTTCAGTTCTCTTCCAAGAGGTATCTGCTCCGGCTTTGTGTCACTGACAAACTTGATAAGTATGGCTTCTCTAACTTTGGTCCAGTCCTCAGTGAATGGTTTGGTAGAGAAAACTGGAAGATTCTTAGGATACTCCATTAGATTCCCCCTTCCCTCATATGAACCCATTATTCAATTCAAATCAACAAATATTTGTCAAGTGTTTAAAATATGCAGGCAATGTGCTAGGTCAAACAAGACAAAAGAAATACAAAACAAGGTGGTGGCATCCACAAGGGAAGGAATTCAGAATGTCCTCTCAAAGATGGCACTGGGGTAGAGCCATAAAAGGAGAGAGGAGCTGACTTCTAGAGGCAATGGTGAGGAGGCAGAGCATTCCAGGCACAGGAGACCCCCTGGGCGAAACCACAGAGGAGAGGGAGGAAGGTCTGAGTATGGGGAACAGTCTAGCCGGACCAAATGGCTCTTGGTGTGCCTTCCCACTCTTAGCTCCTAGTTTCAAGCACCAGACCTTTCTTGGTTATACAATGCTCATCCTCCTCTCCTCTTCACCTAAGAAGACCTTGGATCTGTACCGAAGATGAAGCCTGGGGCTGAGTCAGCAGCCCTGCTGAAGCCTATAGGAACCTCAGACACTCCTGGGAGCCACTTGCGCCAGAATTCTGCCCAGGGAACCTCATCACCTTGCCACCCCAAGGGTCTCAAGCTGGCCCCTTTCAAGAATATTCCTCGAGTCCAATCATTCAGCCTGTTCCAAGTCTATCTAACTCTTCTATTGTCAAGTATTCAGTTTTCTACCTTGACCAAAAAGATGGAATGAAAGACTTTATCAGAAACCCTTCTACTGGTAGATGCAGCATTCCCCAATCTCCCAGACTAACAACCTGCCAAAGCAGACAACGACATGACCAGTTCTCAATGAGGCCATGCTGACCCTTCCCAAGCATTCTGGTTTTACTAGCTAGCCTTTCAATCATATCTCCTAATGCCCATTCAAGATCACAGACCTATAACTGAAGACTTCATTCTCTTCTCTTTGTTGTCTGTGGTCCTTATTGTCTTTTCTCTTATATTATGCTTTCCTGTATATTGAAAGGTTCTTGGTTAAATAAAAAATCTAGTTCATACCATTCTAGACACATCAACAAATTTTTTCCACTAATACTTTATTTTTAATGGACTTATATTTCCAACAAAATTTCAAAATCACAACTTGCAAAAGTTTCTGATGACTGAAAAGTCCTTGAGAGATCCTCAGCCTCTCACCAAATGGTCACTGAAACATTTGCAACAAGGTATTTTTACCTTGTCTCCATTTACTAAGAATCAGGGTGGTATGGTAGAGAGCTGGCCTGGAGGTGAAACTAAGCCAGGTTCAAATCCTGCCTCTGGCACATACTGCTTGCAAGCACCAGCTTCTCAGTAGTATGGGAAGCTCTCTACACCTATAAGGTACAGAAAAGGTGCTGACCTGCACTGGGAGAGGGCGTTTCTTCCCAGAGGAGTTCCCTATAGTAATGAAATCATGCGAGTCTCTCTCCCTATTTCTCATGGATGTACCAATTAGGGCTGAGATGGGGGAGTCACCTAATGTGAAGTCCCTTCAACAGCCACCAGCAATCTGGACATCAGCCCACACCAGCTATATACTGTTTGAGAGGAAAGCACCATCAGCTTCAGCCATGGCGCTATTGGGTCTCCTAAGAGCAAGGCAACACCAGGACCAGAAGGGGCTTCCATGTTCTGTCATCCATTACCTTGACTCTCTGCACTCGTTCCTTCTGAGAGCTGGTCTCCAGCCACCTCTTGAGCTCCATCTCGTAGTTGTGCTAAACAGGAGGGGAAACAGAGCAGGGAGGGGGGAGAGAAAATCCTTCATGAAAGCCAAGAAATGTTCATGAGGAAATCCCACCCGATGTGACTGTATCAGGAAACTCCCCTTCAAAGGACTCCCAGTGTTCGTAAGATGATAGGAATCATGTTCATCCAAGTAGAACCCATGAAATCCTCTCATTACAATTTTGGGATGTTTTCTTTTTATTCTTTAAATGTATACGTAATATACATACATATGTGTATATTATGTGCGTGGAGAGAGAGAGACAGAGACAGAGAGACAGAGACAGACAGAGAGACAGGGAGACAGGGAGAGAGAGAGACAGAGAGACAGACAGAGACAGAGAGAGAGCTTTTCTGCAATTTATAGTCTCATAGAGTTATGTAAAGCACTGAAAGTCTAGATCATTTGCCCAGGGCCACACAGTCAGTCTGTGTCAGAAGTAGGACTGGCTTCAAAGTCATCCCTTTAGTTACTAAACCCTGCTGCTTCTCATAAAAAGGCAGACAGACACAGAGATACAGAGATGGGTAGGTAGATTAAGAGGTAAACAAGTGATAGAGAAGACAATACATACATAGATGCAGACCCTTGTTAAAGTGCATACATGTGTGTATGTTTATTTAAACAAACAGTTACTAGATGTCTACTGTGTGCTAGGCACCATTCTCAGTGCTGAGTGTGTAAAGACCAAAGTGAAAGCATGACTGATCCTTTCAGGCGTAACAGTGGACAACACGAATATCTCCAGGTGGACACAAAAGGAAACAAGATAAAAGCACTAGGGGTTTGGTGGGGGCCAGGAAAGTCACTGAAAGGCTTTATGCCAAAGCTAGTCCTTGCACTGAGCCCTGAGACGTGGCACAAAGCAGACATGAGGCTGGGAAGCATTCCAGGCACAGGGGACAGCAAGGCAAAGAGACAGGTGGCAGATGGATGAGAAACAATAAGAAGGTCAGTTGGGCTGGCCGAGAAATAATAGGGGAGCATGGAAGTGACATGCAACAAAGGCGCAGAGGTGTAGAGATACTATGCTGTGTTATATTTAAGCACTTTTGTTTAAGTTATGATGCTATGTTTAAGCACTTTTCTACAGCCATTACATTAAGCATTTTATTCAAATCACCAGATTTAAGTTCTTTTCTGCAGCCTTTATAGACGCTATGTACTTTAAGTATTTTATTTAAGTTATGTAATTATATTTAAGTACTTTTCTATAGCCATTACATAGGTTATATACTTTAAGTGCTTTTATTTAAGTTGTTACATTACATTTAGGTACTTTTCTAGAGCCTTTTATATAAATGTGTGTGTGTCCTCTTCCACCTCTAAAGCAAGGATTCTATGATCTTAATTTCCTTTATGGCTTAATTACTTTTTTTTTTTTATGAGGGTGGCTCAGTTCTTGGTGTTGAAGATACAGAATGGCCACCATGAAACCTGATCCCACCATCTGCCCCAACTTACGTGACCCTTCACTGAGGCAGCAATGGGCCGCTTCTGTCAGGGGCTTTCCCTTTTTGTGAACAGCTAACATGCAAATAACTAAGCATCAGTGGCAGCTTCTGTCAAATTAAAACAAAAGCCTCACTTTAAATCAGAAAAACTCTGTACCTGGAAACATACACTTCCCAGTCAGGACCCAGAAAACAAACCAGGGCTCCACGTACTAACAGAAGACTCGGCAGAGAACAAAATGTTAAGGTTTCCTCAACGCAACGGCAGCGTGACAATAACTCAGACCAGCAGTTAAATATATTTAGGATTCTTTTACAGGCAATTCTAGAGTCGTTCATAAATGTTGACTGAATTCCCCAGGTCAACAGTTTTATGAGCCAGCTTTTCTGATTTACTGCTCTGCGGTCAAGCCAAGAAGTGAGATGCTTTTTCACAGACATTAAAATGTTGTCGATGCTTGAAACTACAAGTTGCTTGGGGCAAGGCTGAACCACTTTATCAAATTAGTTGGACACACCACTAAAAATGTCATGACAGATAAAGGACACACATGGAGTGTTCAGTGGTGAAGGAGTATATGTTCACCAATATGGCCTAAAAGAAGACGACGTGTCCACGCCAACATCCTGCATGGCAGGGCCAAGAGAATGATGGAAATGGAGTCGAAGACCTGGTTTCAGGTCTCAGACACTGACTACCCGAGAGACCACAGGCAAGAAACCACAAGGCCTCTGTGCCTCAGTTTCCTCCTCTGTATGACAAGGATAATGATGCCTACAACCTCCTTCCCTGCAGGTTTTTATGAAGCTCGGACAAGATCATGTTGGTAGCTGCTTCATAAACTTTCAATGCAACAGAGAAATGTCACTTTATTACTGAAGGCTCAAAGCAGAGAGGAGTCCTTCTGCTCATGGCTGTAAACTTTAAAAATGAAATGTTAAATTAGTAAATATGAATAAAGAAATGCAAACTTTTTTACCTCCATTTCAAGGACCTTCTTGAATATGGCATGTGCTAAGTATTCTCTGGTGAACTTCTGGCGGTCCTTCCTCATGGTGTTCTGTCTGTACTCTTTCTCTGAGAGGATTCTTCCACTTCTAGTGATCTGCGATGAAAACTCAAGATATACATATGGAAAACACCAACACACACATGCACACACACACATACATGTGCCTGAATGCATATAACACATACATGTGTATGCATGCATACATACAAGCACACATATGCACGCACACTTACACGCAGAACTTATATGCGATGGCGGTGGAGAAGGGTGGTGTCTAAGTGGAAAGAGAAAGACAACAATGGTTGATAAGCTTTCACTGTCAATTAGTGTTTCATCACCCAAGATGGCAGAACAAAGATGAGGTCCTCCCTCCCCCAGCATTCTCAGGGTGGTAAGGCGGTATATTTGAAATCTGCCATGGGGCTTCCATTTGTTTAAACGTGTTCTCTTGATGGGGTCCAGGTATTCTTTGTACCAGCCTTCCTGTGACCATTCCGTTCAGAAAAGACATTTTTAAATGAGTGCATTAGAAAATAAACAAAGCAGTCCGATAGCCTGAGCCCCAGAAAGCAACATTGATGCAATGTGTTCACAGCCTTGCAAAAGTTCTAAGTTCCACTGAGTAGTTATTAAACACCGTATTGTATGCAAAGCAAAAGGTCACAGTGCATAACTGAGAGTCAGGAAGACTTCTAGGTTCAAGATCAATCTCTGACCCATACTGGCTGCATGACCCTGGACAAGTCACTTACCTCAGAGACAATTCTCTAAGACTATATATAAGTGTCAGAGAAGGTATGTGTTGTATAAATACATGTGTATGGGCATGTATATGTCCATGTGAATGCATATGTATACATATGTGTATATGTGTATTATATATGTGTGATATGGGTATGAGTATGTGTGTCAATGTGTATGTGCACATGCACATACATGTGTATATCTTTGTCATACCACACACATATATACATGTACACATATATATACTCATACACATATACACACATACATGTACACATGCACATACAAAAACAAATAACATATCTACATATATGTGTGTGTATATGTACGTGTGTGTGTGTGTAATTTACCAGATACTCTTAGGTCTTAAGCTAAGTCCTGGGAATGAGACTCAAAATGGATAAAATTAAGTTTTGCAAAGCACTTTGTGTAAGTGGTTTCACTGGAGACTATGAGAGTCCCTGTGAGGAAAGTACCACAGGTATCCTTGTCTCCATTATGCAGAGGAGGAAACACATTTCAGAGATGTTAAGTGAGTTTCCAAGGGTCACATAGCTAGTTGGTGTAGGAGGCAGCGTTTGAACCCAGGACCTGTAGCCTCCAAGTCCAGCTTGCTCTCTACCATAACCCACCACCTCTCTAGAGTTAGGGAAACTATCAAAGGGTGCCATGGGGAAGAAAGGTTAGATTTGATCCACTTGGTCACAGAGGAGAGAAGCTGAAATAATGGCTGAAAGGCTCAAAGAAACCACTTCAGGCTGGGTACAAGAAAACTCGTCTACGAATCAGGGCTGCTTACACCTGACCAGTCGTCAGGTGTGTTATAGAGAGGATGCCTTTCATGTGTTCTCTGGACAAGATCAAATGAGATAATAATCATAAGGCTCTCACTTAGCACAGTGTCTGGCACACAGCAGGCACTACATAAATGCACATTGCCAGCTACTTAGTAGATGGCTGCTGGTATTCCTTCCAATCTTTGAATTCTCTGCTCTTGGGCTCAGCACTGGTAGAGGAGGTGTCCTACCACCCTGAGGAAACGCTGGTCCTGGGAAACATCAAAAGAAGCACCGAGGCTCTCTGGGGCATGCTGATGATGCCAAGACAAACTGGAAACCAGTTCTTGCCCTCAGGAAGCTTACTTGCCATTAGAGGTGGGCAAGAGCTAAATTATGAGTTGGTGCAGACTGTTTAATTTTGAAATAGCTTTTCATTACTGTATTGTCCTACTTGCTATTTTTCTGCCTTGGTAAATATAATATAACCAAGATAATCTGTATAAGAATAAATACAAGAATCCCATAACATGAGAGGGCATGGAGAGCTTGCCAGCTACACTGGTGATGGGGATGAGATCACAAATCTACTGCAGAATGCTGGCCAAGAGGGTCCATCTTCACAGAATCCTAAACTCGACTGAGTGCAGAGTTAGTAGATTCCTCAGTGACCACCGAGGCCACTCCACGCCTACAGAGGACTCTCCACTCCAACATCCCCAACATTCAGACGATGCATGGAGACTCCCAGAGGGCGACCACCATTTTGGACAGCTCCAATGGTTAGAACATCTTTCTATATATTGGTCCTAAAGATTCTAGGTTCTGAAGTCTGCTTGGATTGCCTAACAACGCAGGTGTGGAAGGACCACACCCAAGAGATGGGTCTGATTCCACATAGCTCCTCCATCACCCGCCACAAAGTGTGTTGGCTTAAATTCTCCCTCAGGTTCAGGTTGGGGCATTTGGCTATGGAGATGTCTTGCAGTTCTGTGATTTTGTGACTCTATGGAACAGGTAAGAGTCAGTGACAGCCAGAAGCTTTGAGTCCGAATGACTGGAAGCATGGTGGTGCTGTCTGTAAAGTTAAGGAACTGTGGAAGGTTGTGTTTGAGGGGAGATAATAGCCTGGTTTGGGCCGTGTTGAACTTTCAGAACAAGCAATGCATTTAACATGTAAATTAGACAATGAGAAAGCAGGAGAGATCAGGGGAAGATTGGGAGTGGGTTAATAGACTTGGGGCTCGTCTACATACAAGTGATGAGGGAAGCCCCAGAATTGGGAAGGGTGCATTGGAAAATACAGGGGCTGGATTTAAATCCTATCTCTGCTATTAATTGCCACTGTGACTTTAGTCACATCACTTAAACTCTCCAGGTTTTCCCATTTCTAAAGTATAGGGGTTAGGGTTGACCTAGATGAACCCCAATGTCCCTTCCAGTCTAAATCCACAGTCCTATTTTTGGAGGCAATTCTAAGAAATAGCAGAGGAAGAAAAGAAAATAGGTCTGACAGTCCCAGTTATGGGGTGCTCATACTCATCAGTCAGTCAATAAGCATTTATTAAGCATCTACTACATGCCAGGTGTTGTGGTAAATGATTGTCATATATCAGGAAGAATAAAATAAACCAGCCCAAGAGACTGAGAAGGAAGAATCACACAGACAGGGAAAGATCCAAGAGAGAAGAATGGGGTCTTCAAAGCCAAGGGAGGAGAGGTCATCAGCAGTGTAAGGCGCTGCAGAAAGGTTGAGGGGGATGAAGACTAATTTTAGGTAGAACAGTGGGGATCAAAGCCAGAATAAAGCCTCCACAGATCTTGGGTGAGGAAAAAGGAGGGGAGAACCAGAGCTTAGCCTCACCTACATTTCACCTCTCACATCCTGCCTGAGTCACCTCCTCCCCAAACAGCTGTGATCCTTTCAACCACTTTTCCCATAGCATGGACTTGGGCCTTTCTACCATTTTGCCTGGCCTTCTCAGGATGATCTCCAGCTTATCAATATCCTTCCTGTGCCGCCCAGATTTGAACACAGTACTCCATATGGCAGAGGCCAGGGGCTGTCACCTCCCTCTTCCTGGAGTCCAAATTTATATCAGCTATGTCAGACACCATATCATAGCACTGACCCAAGTTACAGTATGGTAAAACTAAAAGATTTTTTCAAAGAAAACTCTTGTCTAACAATGACCAAGCCTATTTGGATCAGGAGACGTCTACTTCTTGAATCCAAGCACAAGACTTTACATTTATCTCTATTAAAATTTGCCTTATTAGATTAAGCTAAATTTTGACCCTGCAAAGGTCCCTTTGCATAGTGGCTTTCTCATCCAGGCTGCTCTTTGTCACCTTCAGATCTGATCCCCATACCCTCTATGTCTTTGTCCTAGTCATTGATAAGTGTTAAAGAGCTCAGGGCCCAACACAGATCCTGGTGTGCTCCACTGGGGATCTCCTCCCATGGAGACACTGTGCCATGAACACTGACTACTCTGAGCCTGGTCATTGAACCAGACCCAAATCCATGGAGTTGCACACTACTTGAGAGTCTCTCTCTCTCTCTCTCTCTCTCTCTCTCTCTCTCTCTCTCTCTCTCTCTCTCTCTCTCTCTCTCTCTCTCATTCTTTTCTACAAGGATGGCTTGAGAGACTTGGCAGATGCTGTCATCAAGTCTAGGTGAACTCTATGGCACTCCCTGGAGCTAACACTAGTCATCCTGAATAAAGAAGGAAGCTCAATGAGTCTGGTGTGATCTGCTCTTGAGAAAGCCCTGGTAGCACTTGCTGGTCGCTGCTGCTTTCCCTATCCCTCATACGTTCTAGAACTTTGGGAGGAGTTGAAGTCAATCTCCTTGGACAATTGTTTTCAGATTCTATTCTCTTCCTTTCCTTTTCCCAAAAAATTAAGACATTTCCCTTTTCCCATTCTTTATAGTCTTCCAAATATCACTGATAGTGGCTCACCAATCCCATTTGCCAGTTCTTTCTATCTTGGGCGCATGTGCTCAGAGAGCTAGAGGTGGAGAAGCCAGCTAATCCAACCCCCTCATTTCACAGTTGAGGAAAGTGAGGCACGTGACAGTTGCTATTTTCCCAAGGTCAAATCAGGTGGCCATCATTAGGGAAGGACCAAGAACTGCCCCATATCACTTCCAAAGGTCTAGTTGGTTAAGCCATGTGATCTGATTCAGCAAAGGCAGCTTGGAGGTCTTTTCACTAACTCCTTACTTAGCTCAGGACCCACCTCCCCTTAGCCATTTTCATACTGTTTGCTACAGCCCAGTTCTCCTCCCTGGCAGAGAAAACAGAAGCAAAAGAAGCATGGAGGGCAGGCATGTCGACCCCATCTATCCCAAGCCATCCTGGAGCCTCCCTTTTGTTCCCCCAACAGAGGCAGAAATGTTCTTTCTGTTGTCTTTAACTGTCCTCAACAGCCTAAGCTCATTCTGGGCTTCAGTCCCTCTGACACAATGAGTGTCTGAGTAGGATCTGAACTCAGGTTTTCCTGACTCGTGGTCTAGCACTCTAGCCACGAGGAAACCTAACTGCTCCCTACACTCTAGGAGCTTTGGTTTTCTCATGTGCAAAAGGGAGATAATAATACCTTTGGTAACTACTTCAAATACGATAATATATGTAAGCATTATGTAAATGTCAGTGTAGTATTAACAAATTAAATTAGAATTAAATAATTAATGAGATTACTTTTCCAAGACTTTTAATGTGTATCCTGTATTCATATATCTATCAAGACATGAAATGCAGGCTCCTAGAACTCTCCAAGGAGGCAGTGTAGTACAACAAAAAGAGAAATGGCTCTGGAGTCAGTCCTAGATTCAAATCCCCGCTCTGTCACTTATTAGCTAGGTGACCTTGGGCAAGTCATTTCCCTGGACAAAATGGCTTCTGAAGTCCCTTCTATCTCTCTCTCTCCCTCTGAGCCTCAGCTTTCTCATTCTCAAAATGGAAGGGTTGCACTAGCTGACCTCGAAGGTCCCTTCTAGCTAAAAAGTTATGATCTTGTGACTAGAAAATTTAGGGCTGCCAAGTATGTGCCCCATGATCTATGAACACTACAAATACACGCATGCCTACGGGGACCCTAGGGTAACAGAATGAAGGAATCCATCACATTTGTAGATATAGGAAACGTCTGGAGCAAAGCCGTCTCCTAGAAGGAACAGATGGAGATGGTGTCACATAATCTAACCTGAGGAGGAAATGAAAAAAAAAAACAAAACAGTGTGATAAAAGGAAATAACTAAGAAAGAATGAATAGGGCACAACCTCAGGGCACCCCAACAGAACCCAGAAGGCTTCAAAAGAAGCAACAACTTTACATAATCTTAGGTAATCAATGAAGAGCTTCTAGGGACACAAATGAAGGACATCAAGGATTAGGGATGACCAGGAGACCGGAAGGGCGCTCTGCTGGTGCCCCCAGGATGCCAAGAGCAAACAAGGAAGGCTTTTGGGAGGACACAGACGAGACTCACACAAGCTGGGCTGCCATCCTCCCACTGGAGGGGACAGTCTTCTAGATCCATTTCAGTATTCTGTCACATGGATTTTTACACTTAAGGAAAGTGGCATGAAAAGTCCCCTCAAATCAATTTTTCAAGACAAATTCAGTTAAGTTTGAAATGGGGCAGGGATAACCTGGGACATGAAGAACCATGGGAGAAGAGACCCTGGGACACCATTTTGCTGGGGAAGAATGGAGACCATTGTAAGACTGTGTGAGGGAGGAACTCACCTGGGATATGGGTTCCAGAAGGAAAAGCAAATAGCCATCTGATAGCTCCCTATTTAAACTAATTATCCCTGCTAAATAGAAGCTAAGTTCAGTTGTTTCTAAATTGTTGAAGGACTGTTATCACGGGATCATATCCCAAGAGTTGGAAGGAACATTAGAGATCCCATATTTCTATCTCCTTATTTTACTGATGAGGAAGCCAAGGCTCAAGGTTGCCCAAGGTCACTCAGATGGTGAGAGAAGTGGGGTGTGAGCCCCAGCCCTCTTACTACAGCACCAATGCCCTTCTAAGAGTGCCTTCTAAACTTCAGTACCCCACGGCCTAACCCTAGTTAGTCGATTCTAGAAAACAGACCCTTGGCAGCCAATGGCTTTGGACAATGGTTGTTTCAGTGACTGAGCTCAGTCATCCCTATGTCCTGTAATGTCCTGAAAAAATCTTCCTCGGAATCAAGTGGATTTTCTTTGCTCATTTACAGAGTCTGGGGTGAGCCTCTTTACACGATTTGTCACCTAGGGCAGAGAAGATTCAGTCTGAATGCATAGACCTTCTTAACATTATGTGGAAGATGACCAGAAGCAGCCAGAATACGCACAGGCAATCTGCCAGGCAAAGAACAACGTTCTTTGGTGGGAACAATCCAGGCTCATCTTGCTTCCTCCCCACATATCTCCTCCACCAGCCTTGCCCATATTTTCCACCGTGAAAGCTTGCCCTTTGCACTAGGAAACAAGGCATCCTTGGTCTGTCCTCCCCTTTGCCATCCCTCTGCTATCTCCTCTCTTTTAACTAGACCTCACCTCAAACACCCCCGTAAGGCTGAAGAGGAGCTGATAAAATGTGCACCATTTCAACACGAAAGGTGAAAACCACTTAAGGAAACAACCTCCCAGGAAGAAGGTGAGAAGGGAAGGGAATGAAGGCTTACCAGCCCTGATCTCTGCAGATGTCTCCTTCTTCTTACGTTGCTGAAGTAGCCAACCAGGTGTTTGTCTGTCAGACTGTTATAGGTGGCAAGTGGCCTGTAAGGGTTTAAAACAAAAACGAGGTCAGTATCATGAGATTTTGGTGGATAAAAGACAGTATTTTTAAATCCCCAAATGGAGCCCCTGAGCTCGGGCTTCAAGAGGCTGCTTGCAAGGAAAGAGATTAGAACGAGATCGTTGTTCCAGCCTGACAGGGCCTGCTCCTAGGAGTCCCTGGGACCCATCGGTCCCCTCTCCTCCAAACTCACTGGAAGGAATCAACAATTCTGATTTCTCTCAAAGGGCCCTGCTCCTAAAGGTCAAAGCACAAGCTTCTTTTCCACTGTTTGAAGTGGAGACATTGTGGCTTATGCTGCTTACTCAGGGTTACTTATCCATATCATCCAACCCATTAAATTGAGAGCTGTACAGAACACTGGAGGCCAACTAACTCCCTCTCATTTTACAGATGAGCCAACTGAGGTCCAGAGAAGTTCAGTGATTTACCCAAGGTCACACAGCTAGAAAGTAGCAGAGGTGAGATTTGAACCCAGCTCCTTGGGTGATGAATGCAGCACCAGCACTTTCTTACCTGTTTAACATAAAGCCCAGTTCCTTGAAATCTGATCTCCACTCTCCTGCTATGATGAATCTGTTCCTTCAAAGGCCATCACTGATTGCCCCAAAACTAAATCCAATGACCTATTGTCTATCAACACCTTAACTGAAGTCTCCACTGCATTTGATTCTACTGAGTATCGTACAGTAGACAGGCTGTCCGTCTCAGCATGAGGAAGCCCTAAGTCCACGTCCCACCTGAGACACTCACTAGCATGTGGCCCTAGGCAAACCACTTAACCTTCCTATGTCTCACCTGCAAAATGAGACGGCCTCCAAGGGCCTTTCCAGGATGGAAGCGATGACCCTACAGTCAGCTCCTCATTCTTCATGCCCCCTCTGCCTCCAACGACCCTCCACTCTGCCTCCTATGCTGGCTCAACTTCAACCCCTACCCTGACTTTCAGCATTCTTCTGCAACTCTCTCCCTCTTGTCTCCCTCTACAGCCTCATCCACTCCCATGGCTTCAATTATCACCTCCATATGGATGACTCCCAGATCTGCACCTGTCTCCAGACCAGAATTTTCAAGCTACTTAGCAGAGATTCCCACCGAGCAACTTAAACTGCACACCTCTTGGTCCCCGCTTCCATAGACATTTGTTATTGGCACTAAACAGGCTCTAAATCTCAGAGTCAACCCTGACACTCCAACCCAATATCTTACGAGTTGCCAAGTCCCATCATTTCTGCCTCTGTAATGACTCATCAATCTCCCCTTTCCAACCACACTGCCATCACGCTAGTTATTGAATGAGCTGAAATGGAGTTAAAGCTCTCATTAACTTGGCTTGGATGACTGCAGCGGCCCCATCAGTAACCCCATATCTAGTCTCTTCTGAGTTCAAACTGTCCCCTACGCAGCTACCAGGGTAATAATCTCCCTCGCTCTCAACTCCCATTCAGTCATCTCCCTGCAGTTGCTGAATAAAGCCTAAGAAAGAGCATTCACCTGCCTAATGAACATCATTATAAATTAGACCCAATCTCCCTTTCAGTCTGATCTTTCATTCCTCCCCTTCATGGAACCCGGTTTCCTGGAGAACTGGACTAACTTGCAATCTGCTCCACACGTCCCAGACTTTCCCACTCGTGTGCTGTGAACAATACCCCTGGCTGTTGTCTACACGGAAAACACCTTCTTTCACAGATTGTGCAAAGAGTACCCCTTTTGGTGTCTGAGTCTTGGGTAGAAATGAGGGTTGTTCTACCCATGACTTGTACAACCTTGGACAATTCATAATCTCCTCAAGTCTCAGTTCTTCATCTAGAAAACGAAGGGGCTGCATGAGAGGATCTCTCTGGTCCCTCTCCAGCTCTTCATCTGTGATCCTGATCTTCCTAGCCCCAGTCTCCATTTGCTAAGTTCTCACCTATCTTCCCAAGGCCCAGCTTAAGGGTTTCCTGTTCTCTCAAACCTGAAGGGACTGTTTATTCTACTAACCCTTTAGCACATGGAACTGGCAAACTTCAGTCCTTGTGGGAAGAGGACAGAAACACTAAAAAGGGACAAGGTGCCCAAATGTGCAAGCTTCGTGCTTAGGAAAGACCTTGCTGAGGTGAATGAATGAGTGGATGAATGAATGAATGAATTGCTTGTTCTTAGATTGTGCTTTGAGGTTGGCAAAGCATTATAAATAATATGTCATATGTTCCTCACAACAACCCTGGGAAGTTGATGCTATTTTTATCTCCATTTTACGGATGAGAAAACTGAAGCAGGCTAAGGTTAAGTGACAAGTCCAAAGCTGGATTTGAACTCAGGTCATTCTTATTTCAGGCCCATCAATTTATCCACTGCACCTCCTAGCTGCCAAAGAATTTATCAGACATTGACTATGAATGGCAATTTGTCAGGGAGGTCTGGATTTGAGTCCAGCTCTGACACATCCTGGTCGTGGGTTCCTGGACCAGTGATTTTACCACTTGCTCTAGGCAAGTCTCTAAGATGGCAAGTCACAGAGAAGGTGCTATCTTGTGTTGGCAGGGTTTCTTCACCTGGGAGTTTCCCAGCCTAATCAAATCAGAAGTCCAGTCCTCCCTATTTCTAAGTGCTTAGCATGTGCCAAGGACTAAGGATACAAATTTTAAAAGATAAATGAAGAAGTCCTTGCCCTCACAGAGCTTACATTCTAACAGGGGAAGACGAGACACAGCACATGGTGGCCGGGTGTCCACCAGAGAGAAGTTTTGCACTGGCTGCCCTAACGAGACAGGTCCCCCTCAAATCTATAACGGGCCAAGTCTACAACAAGAAGTGCTGTTCTGTTCAGCACCACCCTCTCTCCATGCAATGGCGGATTACCTTGGATCTGGAAGCCCTGGGATCTTCTACAGGTGTGACTGAAGAAGCCAGGACAGAATCTGCCTCAGCGCGATGCCTCAGGACAGTGCAAAGCTCCTACTCCAAGCTCAGACTTTCCAATATTCTGGTTTCGGTCTAGACTCCTGGTAATAATAACTGACATAGTGTTTTACCATGACCAGCTCTTTTTTCAAAGACATCTCCAGTGAGCCACATTAAGAAGCCGAGGAGGTACACGTGAAGCAAGTAGTACTAGCATTCCCGTTTTACAGGTGGGAAAGCTGAAGCTGAGACTTGCCTAAAGTCACAGAGCCAGAGAAAAGAAGGGTCAGGACTTGAACTCAGGTCTCTCTTTTTTTTCTGATCTAGTGCAATGCACTCTGCTCTTTCTGGCTTCACTTTCTCCTACTCTCCTTCCAAGAGGGTTGACCTCCTTCCAAATCTGCTTTTATAGAGAAGATGCCCATGGTTAGTGGAGCTTGGGGGAGGAGAGCCGTCTCAGTATTTTTCCCAAAACGCCCAAGAGCCCCATTTCAAGGAAGACTGACACTAACACGCTCATCCTGTGCAGAGACAGAAATGGTTCTGAGGGTGTGACTTTAGGGGGAACAGGAATAAATCCCTGATCAGGCCAATTGAAGCAGCAACCTGTGTGGTCATTGTCACCATCACCACCGGGGGGTATTGTGATCATCACCATCGTCATCATCTCTATCACAATGGCTCACGTTCACATCAAAGTTTGCAAAGAGCTTTTACACACAGTATTTGAAGCCTCTCAAGGAGCCCATGAAGAAAAGACTTCAGGTGCATCTCATGCTTATTTGACAGACGGGGAGACGTGCTCCGAGAGGTCAATGACATCCAGCCAGTACAGGGGCTCACAAAGGAATCTTATTCTCTCACATGTAACAGTTTTGTTTTGTCCTCTAGGGACAAAACACTTGCCTCAAAGCCCAGAAGCTAAGACGTCACCTTCAGGGCTGAGGATGCCCAAGCAGCAGGAATGAATGCTGCTGTGAGCTTACATCAGCAGACAATCTGAGGCTGGAGGCTCTTGGAGACGTAGGCACCCCTAAAACCAGCAGCAAACAACAGTGAGACGCTCTTCGAGCTGCCCTGCTGACCTAGGCGCATGACCAGAGGGTTCCTGCTGCTGAAAGAGGTCCCCTTTCCGATGCTTACCCTTTTCTATCTCTTAGAACATTTTTTCAGGTGCTCATCTGTAGAAAGGTGAGAAGGTGTCCTTCACTCCTAATAGTCCTGATCCCACAGTTCACAAGCTCGTAAGAGAAATCATCAGTGTATTGTGATATGATAGACTTACTATCTCTGACTCAACTGTCTTTAAATCAATCTCTTTGCAAAGTCACGTAAACAGGAATGCTCAAATGTTGATTAAAGAAACTGGGAGCAAGAAGTTAAGGCATTCCCTGAATTCAGGACAGGTCTTGTCCAATGACCTTATGCTTAGACAATATTTCTTCCTTTAATATGGTCTGGAAAGTAGCTTTCACAAAACAGTTCCCCAAAATCTGCTTGCCTAGCACCTTTCCCTCTCAGATCCACCCCCCTGCACCTTAGTTCTTTTCTCTACTCCTCTTAACAATGGGCTAAGGGACCATAATGGTTAAAAATCTACAGCAATAAGTCAAGAGATGTCTTCCCCAAGGCTACCCCTTCCCCCCCAATCTGCCCATGCTTTGATCTGCCCTCAAAGATAGATTCCCATGGAAACCCAACTAAAAGGAAAGGCCTCATCATCACCACCATCATCAATAGACATTTATTGAGCACATACTGTGTCCATGGCATTATGCTAGGGACTGAGCATACAGAAAGAAGCATGAAACAGGGAGTTTCTGCTTTCAAAGGACCTAAGCCCATTTATTTCATGAGACGACTAGAATACATAAAAATATGGTCATCTTAGCCAACTGAATGGTCATTAGATCCAATGACCTGGTTTCTTTTAGATAAGAATTATTATTAACAGATTTTTTTTCAGATCTGAGGAATGGAAGTCATTACACTTTCTTTTAATATCTATTTCATTCTCTTTTTAATTAAGAGTCAAAACACTTGGCTTTTCTCAGTTCCACCAAGCTGTATGAAACTGGACAAGTATTTGACTTCTCCAGGTTTTGGTTTCTTCATTTATAAAAGGAGGTGGGGTGGGAAAGGTGGCCACTCAGATCCATCCCTATGGCTCAAAACTGCTTTAAATTTGATTTCAGTACACATCGTCTCCAGCACTCCACCAAGCCCCAAGAAAAGAGTCACCCTTCAAGGACAGGAGCTGGGTCATGAACCATAAATATTTAACTGTGCCACAGCCAGGTGCTTGGTGAGTGTTTTAAGTGCCTGTCTTTTTCCTAGTTTATTAAGAAGCTGGCAACAGGCCAAAATAATGCTACTGTCCTGAAAGTGGGTCAGCCCTGCTGGGAAGAATGTTGTTGTCCAGGTTTAATGGTAACCCTTTCAGGCTTCTTTCCTCACCTTTTGGTACCCCATTTTTGGGGGAGGGAGAGTGATGGAATTCTGAACAGCTTCACTCAGGCTGGTCAAGCTCTTCCGACGGGAATCAGTTTGACCATTTTATTCACATAGCATACAAATGGCTAAATAAAGCTGTTGGCGATATTCCGTGGGAGGAAGAGACAATGATAAACTCACTTTTCTCTAGTGGTGGGATTTCCAGTTTTGTCATGGCTTGGGAGGGGTACTCATTGTGATTCTGCATCCAACAACATGGAATCTCTTTGGGAGAAGGCGGTGTTAGAGAGGGTTCTGTCTTTATATACCCCAAGCACTTAGCATAGTGTCTGAGACACGGGCATTAACAAATAAATGCTTGTGGGTTATGACCGCTCAACTGACTGACTGACAAGAGGGCCCAGACAAAGAGAAATTTTCTTTAATGTTTCAGAATATAAAACATTGTTATATACATGAGACAATACCCAATTTTATCTATCAAGTGAAAGAAAAAGACTGTACTTACAGCATGCACAGGCCTAGAACTAAAAGGCAGATTTCCATGGATGGGTTTGGGATTTGTACACTCTATTCAAACAGATGGTTCTAGATGAGACCTACAGCTGTTCACCTTTGGAGTTGCCTGCTTTGTGAGATAAAGAGATGGAGGGATGGAGGGAGGGAGGGATGGATGGATGGATGGATGGACAGACAGGATAAAGAGATGGAGAGACAGGATAGATAGATGAATAGACAGACAAGATGGATGAATAGATAAAAAGAGACAGATAGATAAATGATAGACATACATACAGATAGATATATATATATATATATGCATATACATATATATATACATGCACACATACATTTTGTAATTTATCTCTTCTTGCCCTCCCTATAAAGCCTTCATATGTAGCTTAGATAATTCTGTTTCTATACCAGAAATAATGGGAGGAAGGAAGATGGAGGAAGAAAGGAATTCTTAAAGTGACTATCTTATACCAGACACTGATAATAGATATATAGACATAGATTTAGAGTGTATGTATATATGGAGTATATGTGTATCTATATATGATATGTATATTTATTTATGTAGGGTTTATATGCACATATGTGTATATATGCATACATGTATATGTGTGTGCAGATGTACTGTATGTATACCAGCCACTGTGCTAAGAAATGGAGGTATGAAAACAAAAGTGAAGTTAAGGCAAATATTTAAATCTGCACATTTTCAGTGGAAATCCACAGACTTTCTACCTTATCTTGAGAACTTTTCAAAGCTCTGTTGATTCACTCCAACACTTTCTGAGTCAAATTCAGCATCCAACACACCTACTATGTGCAAAGCCCCAGGCCAGTCTTACAATGAAGACAGGTACAAAAATCTATAAGGCTCTATATTTTAAGGTACCCAAGTCAAAGGCCATTTCTTCCATGAAGTCTTCCCTGATATGAAATGGCTTCTCATTATTCAGAACTCCATGGTACTTCTGCATACCTCTCTCATGAACCTTCCATGTTCATAGAATGTAAGGGTCTTCAGGGCATGGAGGATTTCATTTTTTGTCTTTGTATCTCCAGCACCTGGCACATAATAAAATTGCTGGATAAATGTTTTTGACTGATTGGCTCTTGATTCTGCTTACAATCACTTTGCCCTTCCAAGATGGCAAGCTCCTTGATGGTAATAACTCTGTCCTTTCTTCTTCAGCATCACAGCACAGTATTTTTGTCATAGAGAGGGTACATAATATTTGTTAAGTTTGGATGATTTCATCAGATATGACTAAGGTGTTTAGCTGAGTGTTCAAATGGTGATATTATCAACAACCAAAGGGCACTCAGGAGGGGGAACAGTTTTGGGGAAAGAGAAAATTCAGTTTGGGATATGTGAAGTTGGAGATGCTATCCAGACAACTGAAAAGACAAGATCACCAAATCAAAATACGATGAACCTTCTTTCATATGCTCTGTTTTCTTTAACAACCTCTGGGAGGCCTGACGACTAATTAAGTTTTGAGAGAATATTTGTACCATATCCCCCCCATTAGAAAGCAAACACTTATCCTTGTACAATCCCTTCCAAATGGTTATACATACTTCTTCTGTTTTTGTATTTTTAAGTTTTACTCAACTGTTTTGTTGCTGTTTTTCAGGGATGCTTGGAAGTCCTCTATTTAACTGAAGGCCCATTTTTCCCCTGTAGGAGAAAATCCTCAATGTAGCAGTGTAAGATAGAGCCCAAGCCCAAAGACCCCCAGCCTGGCCAGATGCCAACTCCAATGGGGGTCAACAGACTAAGAGGAGAAACGGGGCAGACCAACATTTACCTAGAAGAACACAGGATTAGGAATCTTTGAATCTTCCCTGGAATCTCAGTTGTGCCATCAACTCAGGTTTCTCTTTGGATGAGACTTTTCTGATCTCAGGGCCTCCATTTCTCTTCTCAGGGAGCCTTTTGTCCCTACCACAGAGCTTTGTACAGAGTAGGTGCTCAATAAATGCTTGTGGGCTTAGAGTGAAGCCTTTCCTGTACTCACGATTTTAAAACCCATAAATGTAGATTAAAGAGGAAATGGAGCTTAATTTGGGGAATTTTTCTTAAATACCAGTGAAGGGGGTTAAACCAGAGAACCTCTAAGGTGGTCTCTTCCAGCTCTAAATTTGCCATCTTATATTTAAAAAGGAAACTCAATTAGCAAACTGTTAAAAAATGTTTTGTGTCTTGTAATGGATTCATAGGTAGTTTTCTGGGCCTTGGAAAATAAAACTAAGTCTCTTCTACTGACCTGCTGTGTGCCCTTGGTAATGATATCACTTGACCATCCATCAATGTTGCATCTTATATAGTTATCTAAGGAGAGGACTCAGTATCTCATCTGATCCTCATAACAATTGTGTGAGTTAGACAGGTAGATATTTATAGGCAACATTGAATTAGTTTTCTATAACTATCTATCTATCTACACAGAGAGAAAAGGATTTCCATATCTCTCTCATATCTACATATAAGTAGATATAGAGACATAAGGAGTTTACAAAACAACCCAAAGTTGGGTCCTTACTGACAAATCATTGTCACTTGGGTGAATTTCTGATATGCTATAGCATTGCTTTGGATTTAAAGCTCTGGGGGAGTCAAAAAGAAAAACACAAATCCCCAGCTTGTCCTTCCAAGGAAGGCTGAAGAAAGCTGAAGAGAGGCAATGGACATAGAGGTCATTTATTTTCCAACCCTGAATAAGGAGCCTCCTTGCCAACTGAATTAAACCAGAAATAAGACTATGTGGCCTGCATCTTACATGAGGTGACTGAACTGATATTATATAAATTATTTTATATTACTTTCCTCATTTCTTTTTTATTTGCAGTTGGAGCTGCCAGATTGCAGCGATTATGCTGAATATTGACTTACAGTATCACTCAGCAAATTCTAATGATATAGCCTGTGGAGAACTTTAATATTATTTTATTTACATTTTTAATATGTCTGGGTGAAATAACTAGTAAAAGAAAAAAAACACTGATCTCCATCTGTGCAGACTATTGGCAAGCTAACTTGCAAACATTCCATTTCACGAGCAACATTTGGGTGGAGCCTACAGTTGATTTAACCAGTTCAATACATAACTCTGAGCAAACCTGTACAATCTCTAAAAAGTGCTCAGAATTCTCTGGTTTGGAAGGGACCATGTTTGTCCCCAAATCTAATGCAATCTTAGAATGATCTTTCACCCCACAAGAGAGAAATACAGCTGTGGACTAGAGAGCTATGTACTTCTATAGAGCCCAGTGGAAAGCCACACCTAAGGGGAATATCATGGGGGACTACATGAGGGGAGGAAAGGACTTCCAATGTGGAAGTTGTCACTCAGCAGACACATGTTTTCTATACACATTCCTTACTAGCATTATCCTTTAAATATATACCCACTCTTCCCATATATGCTGGGGATATTTTTGAGAGAGTTCTCCCCAAAGAAGTGCTTCCCATTGACTGTACTTGTTCTACTATCTCAGTAAATGCCTTGTCTAAACAAATCTAAATAAAACAAAACTAAATAAAATTGTTAGCGGGAAATCACATCAGTGGGGGCTCGTGAGAGATAATACGGCCCCTCAGATATGCCCCATAGAGCAAGAATTGTCCCTCTAGGACTGCAAATCAGAAGTGCAAGGGGAGTGAGCCCAGAAGGAGTGCTCAACATGAATAATAAATGAACAACAACCACATAAAAATGATCCCAATCACTAATACTACGTCAAATTCAAATGGAAACAACTGTGAATACCCAACCCACATCTATGTAATTGGCAAAGATGAAAAAACAAAAATAGAGTGGATGAGGCTAGAGGAATACAGGAACAGGATGAAATGGGTGGAGCCATGCAATTTTTCCTGACCATTCTGGAAAACAATTTGGAATTACGCAAGAAAAGTAACTAAATGGTGGAGAGTCAGGTGTAAGAAGACCGGGAAGGTAGGAAGGGACCAGTTAACAAAGGACTTTAAATACCAAACAGAGAATTTGATATCTGATCCTGGAGGTAATAGGGAGCCACTGGGATTTATTGAGAATGGGGGTAACATGGTCAGACTTGCATTTTAGGAAGATCACGTCAGCAGTTGAATGGACCATTGCCTAAGTTCATCTCTGTTGTTATACTCTCCAAGGAATCGTATATAATTTTGAAATCTGTACAGGAGATGTTTGGTGGGAAAAGAACCTTTCAAATGGTAGCCTTTGCTCTACTAAACTGAATGTTTTTGTTATAATCAACAAACAATAAGCATGAGTTTTGTATTCTCTAAAATTTTCATTCAGTAACATGCTAGCAAAAATGTCTTCATTTCTGCAAGCCTGCTTCTCCCTTCCAAGACCTTAATCAAGCCTGTCCTTTAGGCACGGATGGATGGATCATTCTCATGAAAATCCTCAAAGAGGAGAAAAGCAGTCAGAGTTACTGACATTCTTTTGGTAATAACAAAAGCCAATATTTTCCCACACTTTTGATAAATTCTCCTTCAGATGTCCTGAAAATTTATTTCTCAGCACCCTCAAAAAGTTGTCCTTTCCAGCACGTTCCTTGCTGGGTATCTTTGGCCGAGTCTGGGGGCTTTGCCCATCTTAATTCTTGTCTATGCCCTCTCCCCTATAAGCACCTTTGAGATTCTAATGTCACTGTCCAAATGTGGTGGCTGATTGTCCTTAACAGTCCCTCTTTAGGCATGTCCCTAAATGCCTTCAATATCACTTTAGCCCTGTCTCTCACCAAGCTTTCTTTAAACTGTTTCATCCCTCTACTGCTATTCAATGTTTTATGAGGTAACACTGTGCATAATCTTGCAATGTACTTCTCTATAAGTTTTACAAATGTTTATGTTGTAAACTGGCATTGTTCTGGCTTACCACATCTCTTCACTTCACAAAAGAGTCAAGCAGTTTCTGACTACGGTGGCTTTTAGTGACTTTTAACCTCCTCTTACGGCAATCAAATTATATAAATCAAACTTCCTTATTAAATTGTTACCATTAATGTTGCTGTCCTTTGCCCCATTTACTCCCCAAATTTGGCACCAATAATTTATTTAAATAAATTAAATTGGATTTGTTTTCATTGTGCAATATATCTCTTGTCCCCATTTCTATTCTTTCTTCTAACCTAATATTAATCTTTATTTTTCTGTTAACAAGGCAGTGGCCTGACTATAGGTAGACAACTTAGGAATGACCCCTATCCCATTAATGATTTGTTTCCCATCTGTTCAAATAAAATCAATTTCATTTTCAAAGATATTACTCGGTGATTGTCATGTCTAGCACCTTTTTTTCTAAAGAAAGCATTTATGATATATTGGCATGAAGCATCAGTGCACTCTACACATTTTCATCTTCTCATCCTTACCTTTGAACCTGATTTTCTAATTTTGTTTTTGCCGCCCTCACCTAATATCTTAGCAAGTTCTTCTTAGATTCGTACATTCATTCTTTGTACCAGATGTTGACACAGGCAACTGTTGTTTTTGTGAACATGAATGCTAGCTACAATATAGGATCAAATATTCCCCTACACGCCATTTCTTTTTGCTTTTGGAAACGTGATAAAGCCGGCTCTGTCAGTTCCTTTACCGGCTTCTCAAAGGGAAACCTGCGAGCCAGCATTACCTTTTGCTGCCACTTCTGTAATTTGTTCATCTTTTTCTCTTTTCGCCACAGCTGCTAGATCCTCCCTCCCACACTGCCTCTTAGCTCACTACCTTGGGTACATGTTTGCGCACTTACTAAATTGACATTCATGCTATTTAGTCTACATGCACGTGTCTCCCCCATCAGAATATAAACTAATTGGGAGTAATGATTGTTTCATTCTTTGTACCTGTATCCCCAGAACCTAGCTCAGTGTTAGCACATAGAAAGCATTTGACAAATGCTTGTCAATTGCTTGATTGATTTTGCTTAAGTCAAGAACATCAAGGGTGATACAACGTAGTCCTCCAGGAGCACGTCCCTTCATGGACCATTGGACGAGGATCTCATCTTTGGAGCTGCAACAGCGCTCTAACAATCATGTGATTCTTCGCCCCACTTCCCATCACCATGTCACCACCACAGGAAAAGCAGAAGAGACGTGGGACTGAGGACCACATTGTATTTTTGTTCCACAGATTGCCACGGCCTCCTGATTAGTCCCAAAGCCTTGGTGATGAGCCTCTGAGGTTCAGACATAGCTAGACTAGTCTTCCAAACGCGGACATGGAGTTTGTTTCCGGGACGACACTAGAAATCTTTCAACAAAGCCTGATAGCGCTTGCACTCTGTCAGGAAGCCCTTGAGAACGCTGGGTCACCACCACTCCATGCCAGGAGGCATCAGAGTAGGGCTGGGAGAGAAGCAACATGCACGATGGTTACAACAAAAGTACAAAGGACGCGAAGAGAGGGAGAAAGAGGGGTCAGAAGTCAAGGAGGATGGCATGCCCTTTCTGGACAAGGTCACTGGGTTTGTTGGTGTCTTTGTTACAAGGGAAGGTTAAGTGCAGAGTTGGGGGGAGGGGGCAGAGCTAATATTCGTATAGCGCTTGAAACATCTAAAGCACCTTATATTCATAATCTCATTTGATCTTCCCAACAATCCTATGTCATGTGTGTTCTTATTATACCTATTTCACAGATGAGGAAACTGAGGCAGGTGATATTTAAGTGACTAGCCCAGGGTCACACAGCTAGCCAGTGCCTCAGGTCTTCCTGACTCAAAGTCCAGTACTTTATCCACTGCACCACCTAGCTACTCTACCTTACTTTGATATTAAAACAAAAACATCTGTAAAATGATATTT